GATACAATCGTCGTCCAGCGTTTCGAATGACGCGGCGAGTCAGCCGAGGAGTTGGGACAATACAGCGATGGATTTGGGCTCAGACGGAAGAGAGGCTTTTGGTTTTGACGAGGTGCCGGATTCAAGGTACAGGAGCAGGCATACCGGGCGGCAGGTTGTGCAAAGGCAGGGGACTGACGCTCGGTCACAGGCGCACAATAGGTCTGAGAACATACGAATGGGGGCTCAGCACTCATCTCGATTTTCAGGGGAGAAGAGGAAAGCAGGCGTCACTGGTGAGCTTCCGCTAGAATTGAGACGAGCGTTGATATGGGAGGGAGATGCTGATCCTATTCAACCTGCGCATGTGGCATCTACGGCTCCTTGTAGATCCCGTGAGCGCCGAGAGTTACATTCCTCCGCGCAGGGCTCTATGGATAAACAGCAAGAAGATGAGTCTTTGCAAGACATTGCCCGTTTATCAGATGCAGATTGCCTGCCATCACCCTCTCGCTGCTATGCGCAGTCAGGTCCCAACGCGTATCTCGTCGCAGGGCAAGCGCGGCCAAAACCTGTGGCAGTGGGTCCCGCGCACGGCAACGAACGCAGACATCGCTCTCCCGACCAGCGTCGCACACAGGCACGTCAAAGTGCAGTTATTGCAACAGGACACGGGGCCACTGTCCAGACAGACGCTCTACAACGAGAAGGGGGGGATGATGAACAATGCGATTCGAGAAACGAGGAATTGAGTCGTCTGGATCGTGACGAGGGCGCTATACGCAAAACTCAAACGTATGCTGACGCAGTGAAAATGGCAAAAGAGGCTGCCGCCTCAGCAGCCAAAGCTGTGCTAGACTCTTTTCTTTCTGCGGGAATGATTGACAAAAGTACTGGTGCAAATCGTAACCGCGTTCAACAAAATTGCGATCGGATCGGACACTCAGTTGCCGAGGCAGGTGGATTCGTCGCTGCGAGGATCACAGAAGAAACGCCTGCAGTTGGGAGCAGTCAAAGGAATATAGCTTCTAAACAGTATTCGATGCCACTGACGTGTAGAAACCCGCGCGATTTGTCGAAGCGTGCACTGGATGGAACACAATCGCCATTGACGAAAAGATGCCGATACCCGCCTGCGTCCGCTTCCAAGAGCTCCAAGCAAATTTCTTCACTCCCACCCGAAGGCGAAGGAGTGAACCCGGAATCTCTGGAGAAAGATCTTCTTGGGAAAAAAAGAGAAAGCGAGAGGAGGTATGCTGAGTGCACTGTCCAGCAACTTTGGCAGCAGCTGGAGCGCTCACGTGTCAGTCAGAAGGCAGTCCGTGAATCACTCAAGAATATCCGAACGTTGGTACATATTTTTCTACATCAGGTCGTCGGTGTGCTTCGAAAGGATGACTACGATGAACCGGTTGAGAACTACCTCCGCGACTATCTCAAAGTAATGGGAAAGTTACCGATGCAGCTGCATAAATGAATAAGAGAAGCCCCCCCAAAAAGTTTCTCCGAGGGCAACTGACCGGTTTAGTTGGGTGTATATATTCACAGCGTGCCACAGCATGACCTACTCCAAGATTTCATAGTGCGTAAAAAGTCTGTTCGATGCCTATCCCCTCCCGCTAGGTCCTGCAGGTACTTGTGGCCTCTTCCAGCTGATGTAAATTCTCTTATGTCCGCTAACCACTTCTTGGGTGACATTAGCAACAGCTTTCATGAGACGAGTAAGATTGCTCTTTTGTTCCTTAGTCTTCGTCTCAAAGTATTGTAGAAACTCTTTGAACATAATTCGTTCCCGAGTCTTCAACAAAACCGACAGCACTGCCTTGATATGATTGCTTGAAGGCAGAGTTCCTGACGGTGGAAGTAAGTGAGACAAATCGAGCTTCTGGGGTGTATTCCCACCCGGACTGCGTCCTGGAGATGGGCTGACACCTAGAGGAGTAGATCCGTAAGGACTCGTGCCCATCGGGGTCGGTTGTCTAGACCCAACTGCGGCCGTGGATTTAAGCGATCGACTTGGGGAACGCAATGCAGACGGAGGCCGGGATGGCGACGGCGAGCGCGACACGGGGCGAGAGTTCTTGCCTTGAGTTGGATCATCATCCGATTCAGAAGCAGGTGACGACGGCCTCGAAGTGATCGGTTCATCCTTGATTAACTTCCGGAAGTCCTTGGCATTCTGCTCTGCATCGACAACCCGATTTTCTGTCTTCTTGACGCTTTCCTTGTCCATCTGCGCAACGTCATCATTGTCGAATTCTTGCTCAAAGTCCAGCTCCTCTCCGTTCTCAACGTCATCCTCACGCTTTGCTGCGCCTCGCTTGATTCCGACGCCGGCATATTCGCTGCTGTCCCTAATGCGAGAGTTATCCCCCATGCCCTGCTCCCTCGCGAATTGGGCACTCTCCAGCTTCGTCGAAAACTTTGCTAGCCTGTTCTGGCCTTTTGTGGCATTTTTGCGCATTTGGGCCTCTGTCTTTTCTGTAGTATCTCGTCCGCACGATCGGTTTGCTCGAAATGAACACCAAGAGTAGTCGTCAATGGGAATGACATCCACCGCTTTGCTTCCTTCCGCCATGACCATGATAGCGTAGCGGGACGTTGACTTGCCGTCAAACTTTCCGTCGAACAAATCCACATCTGGATCTTGCTGAGATTTCTCCTCATCATCACCATTCCTGCTCTTGAGACCGTTTGCCCCTGACGCCGAGTTCGAAACGCCATTCGCCGCGGTAGGCATCTCCTTGCCAGAAAGCTTTAGCGCCTCTGCAAGTCTCTTTCTTTCCTCCAACACGTGCTGGGGGGTAACCTCAAGAGTCCATCCCTTCCTGTAACGATCAGGAATGGTAACAATCCCTTGCTTGTCGTACCGCTCCAGTCGACGCTTCCCTGAAAAACTATTATAGTATATCTGCTGCTTCCGATGTGCTTCGATAGCCTTCTCGCGACCGCGAATTGTGTTCTCAGTATGTCGGTATAGTCTCACGTGAGGGTCATTTGAAAAATCTGGGACGCGCGTGAGAAACTTTGCGACTACGTAGTCACGCAACTCACCGGTACCCGCGCGGCGAAGCAGGTAGTCGTCAGGGTGCGCGCCCGGCGTCTCCTTCTTTCGCTTTTTCAGTTCGGGCGACGGACCTGACAGACTAGGCTTCGCTCGCCGCTTTTGACCCTTCCCTATCGAGGGGGACGACAGCCCGGCAGAGCGCGAGCTCGAGATCAGCAACGGCTCGTCGTCGTCATCGTCGTCAAGATCAAGGTCGTCGTCGACGTAACCGCCCCCACCGTGCACAGCCTCAGGGTCGAAGTGGTCGACATCCATGCTCTCATCCGCCATGGCCTCGATGTTGATTCGTGGAAGCTTGTCTCACACGCTGGAGGCTGGGCGGCTGCTTTGAGTGTACGAGAGCGGGATCAAATGAGGGAAAAAGGACGCCGAGCTGCGTCCAAGAAGGAAATAGTCGGGTATCTCTTGAAGAAAGGAAAGGTCGCGCTTCACGCTGGCACTGTAGGTATATTCGATATTCCTACTCCGTTGCCAGCATCGTCTGGCCAATGTGGCTCTCCGTGCGTGCCATCACAGCCTCCGCAGACACACAAGAGGCATGCAACAATTCAGTGGAAATTGATGTGTTTCAACAAATTGTACGACGCTTTTGTTTTTTTGTTTTCTTTTTTTTGGGTTCACTTTTAAGCCTTGGAACGAAATAGAATGCGTTCGTACCCTCTCTTGAAGTAGAAGAGGTTGAATAGAGGCTTGGAAATCCTGGACCGACACCCGTAGATTAGTAGTAACCAAAGCAGAGAGATGAGTAAGTCATTCCCAAAAGATATAAATCACGCTGTTAGGGCAGAAGATATCCTCTCATCCAGCCTGTATTTGTGCATTGTGCTTCAACAACGTCCCTCTCAATTTCGTTCCCTTCTTCCACTATGCATCTTTCCCCATCGATGCTGTTTTCAGCCACAGTCCAAACGTTTGGTTGCAGCTTCTAGAATGCTCGTGCGGTGGTAAGCCACTTCATATCTTGGCCTCAGTACATAGGGAAAGTATTTTCTGCTTGTCTCAACGGACAGACTTGTTTAGGCCTCTGCGATAAACGCCGCCGATGGTAACTTTGTCTTGTCATCACATGAATTGACATGAAAATAGCTCATTTTGCCCGTAGATAGAATGCCCCGAACGAGAAAGAGAATAACATATCTCATCATTAATAAGGAGTGAAATACGTTGGTGAAAACATCTTTCTGAGATTCGCCGACTTCCCCACGAATCCACACGAACGTGTGGACAATACCACAAGACAATACAGATTTACAACGGTATACTAAGATGTTTATATGTATGTTCCGTATGGCCTTCTTCCCGCTGCGCCATCCAAATGGGAGATGGGGAATACACGCCAAATTATTCCACTCGTTCCAGACGCTGAATCATGCAGGCCCTATTCAAAACCCACGCGTTCAAGTTCCGATCGGAATTTTGACACTTCAGATGTCACAACAGTACCGCACGCCGTGACAAGACCACACAGGTTCCTTTCTGTGAGCATGGGCCAGCCTTCAAATTTCAGCTTTGGTTCATTATTCAGTGCAGAAAGTATGGCCAACTAACGAGGGATGGGGATAAACGCAGCAGTTCTTGCCATTGAACAGCAGGAAATAATTACGTCTGGTACTTTACTTTGGAAAAAAACTCTACGAGGTGCAGGTGCCATGGACCTCCTCTAGTCCGTGGTGTCTATGTATGATGCCATAATGACGTCACATAAGGATACTTTTCCACCTTTTTTTCGTCTTATATCTACTCAGTAAGACGGAAAAAGGACACCCCCATAGGTTAATTTATCCTTATGGGACTGCGTTACATAAGGATCAATTTTGGTGAGAACTGCAAGTCCTTTCCGTTCGTTTTTAGAAATGCTCGGAAAGGAAGCTTTTTTGAGCAACCTTTGGATGTTTTGTGTTGATTTCTTCGGAAAAAAGCGCCCCTGCAAAATGCCATCTATTTATTACAACTGAATGTCATTATTTGTCTTTCAGTATATTCAAAAATGCTATCCCGATGTTCTGCAAGTTTTTAATACCGACGACCAGTACGTTCAAGAAATGGCATCCAAATTGATTAGATGAACTTTCGAGTGAATATATATATTGCAAGAAACACTGACTATGCCTGACCTCATGTATGAAGCAAATCGTCTGTCGCCTACTGGTGTCTACTGATATCTGTGAGGACTGAAGATCCATAGACACTCTCTAGAGGGACTCTAAACAAATTTAGTATTCGACGTTACTTGCTTTGTACTGGAGCAGCACTCTAGTGTCTTTTGGACCGTTGTCCTCATATGAGGAAAGTTTTCGACATTTTTTTTCTTGACTTGCACTTTCTCGACAAGAAAGAAAAGGATACCCCCACCGCAGTACTTTAATTCTGCCATGAGACCAGAAAGAACTTTGTGAGAATAGCATGTTCTTCCTGGTCGTTTTCAGATATATCTGGAAAAGAAGTTTTTTTAAACCACCTTAAAACTGCACGTGAAATAACCGCGAAACCGAAAACGTTAGTTCCTTTGCGTCTGTCAGTCTGCTCTTTTGTGCTGTAGGGGTCCTTTTCTGGTATCCACGAATATCAGAAGTCCGGTGTCTTGCCCTTTCACTACCCCGACAAAATGTAAACATTTTAGGTGGCAGAAAGCTTGCAAGTAGTGATGCACCAAGAAAGCGTTTTCTACCTTCCCAGTTGGACTCCGAAGAACCCCTTCCGTTATGTCGCAATAAATTCGTTGACAGCTTCTTTATGGGTCGGTCCGGCCCATCCGGTGTTATGGACAGTTCATAAAGAAAAAGACTTAGACTCATGGCTAAGTGGTATCACACTAACCAGCTCATACGGGGTGAGAGGTGGGCCGATCGTGGTTAGTATGAAAGGGAAACCTAATGATACACGCTGTTGTCCCGTTCCCATTCCCCTCTCCTCAATCCTCGTACTCGTAGCTAGCAGTATAAGAACCCCGTTGAAGAAAACAGGACCATTTCGTGACAGTAAGACATCTATTTCTAGTTGATGACCAGATATTGAAGCACCAAACTGTGGAAAACTTTTGTCACCGGATTTGGATGAGAAGAGTAACTCATGTACCATTTATCGTACTAACACTGAAGGTTCTGCTTTTGGATGAATTGCAAGACCCCTGACTTAAAGACCGTTATTGATGGTTGTACGCATGATGACCCGTCACTTTGTGCTATCCTTGCGTCCCAAGTTCTCTACATGTAGAATGAATAATATCCTCTCTGTAAGGGCCAGAAATATCAAGGAGAGCTACGGAGAGCAGATGCTGATGCGATCGTGGAAACGTGTTCCTGCTCCTCCATTGTAGGGTTTCGGCAATGCACAGGTGCGACAGGTCTGGCATCAAAAAGTCTGGCATAATCCTGTAAAAGAAGCATTAAATAATTTATCTCTCTGGTCTCTATGGAAACAACCGTGCTTGAAGAAAACGAGGTCCTTGAACGCCCTGTAGGAACAATGGTCGCAATGGAAAATCTTTCTCCGTTCCGGGTGCAAGCTTTTCAGGATTGAAACGGCAAGCACTGAAATGATGTATTTTAAATTAGTAACTGCTATACAGTAATCTCTCTTTATAAGAATGAGGACGGGAAAGGACATTATTATTCATGTAAAGAGAACATTCCTATGCCGGCAGTTATGATGCTTGCCCAGCAAGGTTGCTGGCCCCTGAAAAGAAAGAATCAATTCTCGTCTGCTTCTGTGTTTGCACTTTGGCAGCTGAGAGATCTCTTTTGATGCACCGAAGGTAGCTTAGTACAGCCAATTTTAGAAGATCCGTTTGACCGTTATACCAAGCAGATCTCGGACATCTGTTCGACCGTTTTAGAGGACCAAAATACGTTCCCTTCTACATACTGTACTGTACTCCATGGGATAAAGCGACATTCAAAATACTATATCCTTATGTCGTATATGAATAAACGTCCTGAAAATAGGGCTGTTTTGGCCATTCCCAGGACGGGAAACAGTGCATGTCTTCTACTAAAAGAATATTCTATTTCGGGTCATTCTTGTAAAGAGAGACTACTGTAATAGAAAGCAACTGTGTTGAGCGTGAGGTCTCTTGATGTTAAGATGGTTGATGTGCCTCTAAAAAGACTCCTTTTGAGATTTTCTTTGAAAACGATTCAATTCCAGTGTGACCACTAAAAAAGGGGACTCAATCAGTGAGATTGTAGGGTACTGTGTCCTGGTCTTGGAGGACTGTTTTTCTTTAGAATACAAAGCATAAGCACTGCACCTTTATTGACATCTACAGTAGAAGCATGAGTGACCCACACACAGACTCCCTTATCAGCGCTCACTTTTCTCAACACACGTTATATGGAATGCCGGATCGCACAGTACAATAGAGTTTAGTTGCCGTACGATAGATTCCGTTTGCTTCTCAAAGATAAGGTACTTTTCCCCACGCCTTTGCCTCATCGAGATGCCGGCCCGTTGGCTGTAACAGAAACGTCGACTACCGTACTACAAGTTGTCATTTCTCGCTTTGTAGAATTTCAGGCACAAAAAAGATAGGCTGTCGAGTGACTTTTTTCAAACGTGACAAAAATTGCCAAGCACATGGAGCATGCTTCGTACTTCAGTGCTGGCGAAAGGCAGTTTCCTCAATTTTTGACTGCCCCGAAAGCATCCAGATTTCTCGGGAATGGGCGTGTCGACGAACTTCGCCAGATTCGCAAGTAGAACTTTTGTTCGCGGCATGGCCCGCTATAGACAAACCCTATTTGGTCCAGCTCGTACAAGAAAATTGTACTAGTGCGTGCGGGTACGACAAATCTACGGCTCGGGTACAAACGTTGGAATTCAGGTGCCTTGAATAGCAATTGGTAAGGCCTGCGCCGGCCCAAATTTTCTGCTTCAGTGAAGCCACTATCCTGCTCATATCCCTAAAATGATCTGATGAGACTGCAGGACTCCTTACGAGTATGAAAACACTCCTATACTGCATGTCTCATCGCCCGTCTGCTGCAAGCTTCAATGAAGATACCTGGAAAACCTCTGCAATGACTGGGATTACGATAGTCAGAACGACGTGTGAAGCATCTGAAGGGCAAGGACTGATCACACCACGTGTTTTGGCATCAATCCACATCATCTCTACTGGTTTGCCTTTCGCCTTACACTTTGTATTTTAGAAGAACTCATTCTTTTGGATGAAATGTTTAACTAGATTCCTTCAGGAGAAACTGATAGTTCGGTAGGACCTGCGCACGTGTCGGGCGAATTTTGCGGGCTCCTACAAACACATATACCCGGGGGCATCAACAGTTCTCCTCTTGCAACATATGTCCCGAAAAACTGTCCTCCTCAGATCTCTTACGGCGTCGGGAAATTCTTCTCTCTTCATGCTCGGAGCAAGCATTGCTTTCTCGGCGTCTTGGTATCGAGATATATTGATGGGCATCGACCGCCAATTGCTTCGAGTGGCATTCCACGGGATCCACACTCTCTTGACCTCCTTTTATTTTTTTTCATCTCCCCTCCAAGGTGTCGTATCTTCCATACTGGGGTTTCAATCTGCTATCAGACGATTTCATTCAAGAGACGCGCTTCACGGTAGGCAAGGAATATATATATTTCAAAGATGATCGGCTATTGAACTGTGGTGTATTGATGTGCATTAGCGGTGAAAAGGCGTAACGAAGCAAAGGGACTTTGAAGGATGTTTCGTGAAAGAAGGTGCTGCGACACGACTCGGTGTGGTTCTACCTGTACAACGAGTACATTTCACACGCACAGCATGGTTTCCAAATCAAAAGCAAGCAGGCAGAAAGGGCGGCGTGACTCGTATCTGCGGTTTTCAGAGTGTGAACAATCCATGCTCCTCGACGGGGTGAAGAGGTTTGGAGCAGGCAGCTGGAAGAAGATACTATCTACGTACGAATTCCACTGGAAAAGAACGGCGGTAGACCTCAAAGACAAATATCGCAACATTCTAAAAGGCAGGGAGCGTCTAAAGCGAGTTAGTATGCAAAGCAAGCGGGAAGAGGGTGGGGATGCAAAGCCATCAATGGAGTACAGGAGATGCACTTCGCCTACGTCGGGTCGTGGCCTGGACGTGCGAGGAATTGGGAATTGTAAAACGCACATCTACACGTACGAATACAGGTCGGGCGATGATGGTGGTTCGCGTTCATCCACGCGATGGTCAGGCTCCTACGAGGCTGGAAGTGGAATTGGAGTCGGAGAAAGTGTGGGGCCGGTGGGGCAACAGCGGGGGGTCGTTGAGGCACAGGCGGCGCATGGAATTGGGTGGTTGTACGGGCGTAGCACGGGTGTTGGGTACTCCACGGTGGCGGCGGGCCGAAAAGAGGCGGGCAGAATACATGCAGAGGTGAGGAAGGCACCAATAATGGCGGCTCCATCGGGGATGAATCTGGAGAGGCTCCTCTGCTCGGACGAAGCGGAATGAGGCGGAGGGGGACGACTCGTGCGGGGCGATCAAGTGTTGAGGCCTGCAGTGTATTACTCCTGTCATACTCCTGAGGCTGGCGTGCGTATACTGTACGAGGAAAATTTTCGTGAGTTTATGAATTTCCGTCTAACTCTTCAGCAACCAATTGCTGAAGAGTTGCTCATATTTATTTCTCACAAGCGCAAGCGTATATGATAGTCTCTATTATCAGGCTGTCACACTGTTAGGCGATCCCTCCGTGTTCCATAGACGCCGCCCCACACAGGTGTCCCCGTGCGAGCCGCCCGTTGGTTGGTCGCCCGGTCTGCTTCGCTTGCGGACGTCACACACACACAGCGCTTGCACCTCCGCTTCCACGCCCAAAACCCAAAAGCCCAACGGCATTGCCTTATCTACTGTGCCGTCTTAGCTCTGGATGGAACCGCCACAGGAGGAACCTCCTCCTGTCGCTTTAATCATTAAAACTTTAATCATAATAATTAAGTAAGTGCCTGTCCCATGTGCCGCAACGCCAATGCCTTATCCGCCGCCCCGTCTTACCTCCTTC